TCCCTTCAGCTACACCAGCTTGCCTCTTCAATGCGGCTCACACAGCTCCGCACCGGTTTCAAGGCTCAGGCTCAGTATCAACAACATTGCAAACAGCGAGGACTCCTGGTTATCGATCAAATTCACCCCACGAGGGAAGGAGGCACGTCATCATTGTCAGAGTCGTAGTCGACGGCAGGCCCATGCATGGCAGCGGAGTCAGAGTTGGTGAAGGAATCAACTGGGACACACCAGTGTTGAATGGTGACGTCGTCGCGGTCGATGGTAGGGATGATGGTTGCATCGTCATTGTCGTCAGTGACGGTCTCAACAGTAGGAGAGTCGAGTGCAGATGTGGTAGTGGAGTGAGAGTGGGGAAAGGAGTCAACAGGAACACACCAGTGATGAGCGGTGACAGCATTGCGGTCGATGATAGGGATGGTGTCGTCGTGAACATCGTCAGAGACAGATTCGACAAGAGCAGGAGGAGCAATCACGTCAAGCACATTCTGGGAGGTGATACCAGAGGATACGTAGAAGTTGTAGTTGGCGATGTTGAAGGTGCCAAAATAAATATCCGGTGGAAGTATTTTTTTACTTATCAGTCTACACGAAATGTTGAGGTGACGTTGAAGGTATTACAGTTTTGCATCTAAGAGAAGCGCAACAACAACGAAAGAGTGCGTATCGTGCAGACACAGGACACAACGCAACACGGCACTGCTCTCATCATACACAGTATCCTCACCCATACGGCACCATAGCCTAGCTCAAATCTTCTCATTACTTACATCTGCTCTCTTCCTGTGCAATCAGCATTATCATTGAAACATGAAGTTCAAGCGAACACCAACGACATTATCATCATGGGTTATGTTCACCGCATTCCTGCTGTCGTGTTTTCTCTTGACTCCAAGTCTTGCTGATGGTAGCAGCAGTATTCTACCATCAACTGCTAATGAGAATGACGAACCAAGTCCCAATGACTTCATGCCCACAGCATCCCCATCGGAAGCTCCTTCTTCAAGGTTGGTGAACAACAATAAGACATCACTTGTTGACGGTGATGATGAAACCAACAACAACAACAACAGCAACAACACCAGCAAGTTCTTTTCTCCCAAAGCGGATGAAGGAGAAGACAATATTAATCATCAAGAATACCAAATATCGCCCACCAACAAACTGATTGGTTTTGTCTTTGGTGCCTCGGTCATTGTTTCCATTCTGTTACTCATTCGAAACAATCGCAAACATACCCGTCAATTGGCAACCCTTCGACAACAGCAACAGGAGCGACGTCAACGTTGTTGTTGTTGTTGTTGTTGTTGTTGCTGTTGCTGTTGCTGTTGTTGTGGTTGTGGTTGTGGTTGTGGTTGTGGTTGTGGTTGTTGGTGTTGGTGTTGGTGTTGGTGTTGGTGTTGGTGTTGGTGTTGGTACCGGAGCCATGCTGATGAGTAGCGTGGGTGTTGGTGAAACGTTTGCAAGTCTGGCACCAATCCATGTCCTTGCCGTTGATGTTCTTCCTGAAGTGTGGAACCCCGTCCACGGTTGCAATAGGAACGTCGCCGTTAGCAATTGAGGGTTGGACCCGCTTGGGATTGGGAGGTGCGTTACCGGTGCGGTCACCATTGCGATTGTTGTTGTTGCTATTGTTGTTGCTATTGTTGTTGCTATTGTTGGTGTTGGTGTTGGTGTTGGTGTTGGTGTTGGTGTTGTTTCCTTGTGCTTGTTGGAGCAGAAAGGCACGAAACTGTTCCTTCAGGTGCTTCTGGGTCAGTACGTTGTTGGCTTGCAGGGCGGACGGAGTACGAGAGTCGAGAGGGGTGTTTGCTGGGGGCCACTTGTGGTTGTTGAAGAGCTGAAGGTAAGACTTTTGGACTTTCATGAGGACTTGACGGTAGTGAACATCATGTGCCACCATGTAAGTGGTAGCGCTAGCCGCTGATAGTCCTCGGATAGCGATGAGAGCATCGTCCACACGGCTGCGAAGAGTCATAATTTGGCTGCGGAAGTAGAGGGTGTCGGGATTGCTTGGATCGGTTCCACCACCGGCATAGGAAAGAGTGTCGAGCATCTTGATGGTGTTGTCGTGATTGTAGTCCTCCATATCGTCAAGTTCTTCTGCCATGTTGAGGAAGGTGGCAACGATGGCGTTGACATTCTGTTGTGGGTAGCTTGTGACGGCAACCTTCCGAAGCTCGGATTCAATGTTGCGTTTGCGGTCGATGTTGTTGTCATAGAGGAGACGAAGGAGAACGTACCATACAACAATAAACCCATCAGTGGTGTTGTGGAATAGTTCAACTTCCTTTCGAAGATCTGGATCAATGGCGTTCATGAGTAAGTGTGCAGCGTCCCTGTCATTGGATCTGCAGTAGCTGTCATACGTCGGGAGAATCTTGGTGTATTCAAGCTCAGCTTCCTCTTTCGTGAACATATCGGAGCTTGTCACAACGGAGATCTGGTCGCCGCTGCGAGGAAGGTACATGACGGAGTCCAGTCCTCGGGAGACTGCAGTTTGCCAAAGTTCCTTCTTGAATCTAGTCATCTTCGTCTTCTTGGTGATCGAAACGAGGTCAGACGTTCTGCGGTAGGTGGCGCTTTTCATTGCTTCATAGCCTGTGGGACGCAACTGTCCCGGATGTTCCATGGTAGTGGAAGCTGAAGGATCAAGGCCAGTACGGGTCGGATTGGGTTTCCCTCCAGTCCAAGCGGTTTCGGTGCTGGAGCTGGTGCGGACCTTGTTCCCAAGAGTTGGAGTTGTTGGGCTGAAGAGCACGCCACTTGTTGGTGCTGTCGCCCCAGATGGTGGTGTGGGTCCAGCTGGTGGAGTTGGTGGAGTTGGTGGATTTGCTCCTTGAGCCATGGTTGGTTGGATCGTAAGGAACGATTGGGGCCGTAAAGTAAGAAAAGGAGACTGTTCTGGTTCGGTTGGTTCGGGTGCAATCGCTCCCTCTGTTTCTGCTGTTTCGTTGATGGCACTGTTGAAGACGTGAAGTAGATCAAGTGGTTCGGTGTGCCCTGTTGTGTCGTCGCTCGGTGACGGCGAGGAAATGTTGGTTCGGGTGCAATCGCTCCCTTTGTTTCTGCTGTGTCGTTAATGTGGGAAAGCTATGCGCTCGATGTTGGGAAGAAGCTATGCGCTCAATGTGTCGGATGGTTCTGCTGTTACGTTGACGTTTGGAAAGCTATGCGCTCGTTGTTGGGAAGAAGCTATGCGCTCACTGTGTCGGATGGTTCTGCTGTTACGTTGACGTTTGGAAAGCTATGCGCTCGATGTGGGAAAAAGGCGATGTGCCACCCGGTGGAGGATTCTTGTAGGTTGAGATCCCTGATTTGTTTGTGTTGTATTCTTGTTGGGAAGCGTGTGGTAGTTATCCGATTTGGGCTGTAATAACCAGTCAGAAAATATCTGTAGACAGAGCTGTTATGTATTTGGAGCGAAGTAGTTTGATAGAAGTATAAAACTTGAGAGACAATAGTTTGATGTAAAAGTGCAGATTTACTAAAATTGTGACGATATGGCAGTGAGAACTTGTTGAGTTTAGCGACGTCTCCGATTGCTAGACTCAGTGTTCATAGGTACAACTGCCATTCATCATGTTAACTATTCGCTTATTTCGATGTGTTCAAACAATCACATGAAGATTGATACACCGAAAGTTCAACGGCTTAAAGTTCAACGGCTTGTGTTGAGTATGTGAATTTTTGGTTTCACACCAAAATGTGGATCGTGGGATTTTCGTTTGTATATGACACATGTTGTGGAGTATCACACGTGTCGCATCGGAATATATATTCCGACTCTATGGACAAAGTTGTTCATGGAGTGGCAAGGGTATCCGATCGAGAAGAATATCTTGTACAAGAGTTGGAGTTGTTGGGCTGAAGAGCACGCCACTTGTTGGTGCTGTCGCCCCAGATGGTGGTGTGGGTCCAGCTGGTGGAGTTGGTGGATTTGCTCCTTGAGCCATGGTTGGTTGGATTGTAAGGAACGATTGGGGCCGTAAAGTAAGAAAAGGAGACTGTTCTGGTTCGCTTGGTTCGGGTGCGATCGCTCCCTCTGTTTCTGCTGTTTCGTTGATGGCACTGTTGAAGACATGAAGTAGATCAAGTGGTTCGGTGTTGAGGCGGTCTTTCCTCGACGGAAGAAGCTTGGACGAAAGAAGGAGCGGTCGCAGCGCTGGATCCAACATCAACCGCACCGTGGAGACCTTTCCGTTTTTCTCGCCCGAGGCGGCAGCTGGAGAGATTGCTTTTTGCAAATTCAAGGCCAGTTGTCGTCGGTCGTGTGGGGGAGTGATGGAGCTCGAAGGCAAGGTGAATTGTTGCTTTGTGGGAAATCAAGACCGCTGCCTAGACGCGGATCCGGAGGCCTGCCTACTTTCCTCGGCCTCCCGATATCAAGCGCCAACCATCCTGTTGTATTGTTGTGTTTTTGTTGCGCGACAAACATCAAGATTGCGGCAAGGTTTTGTACCGACCTTTCTGGATTGCAAACATCCAGTAAAGTTTTCGGAAATTTGAGTTTTCGTGCAAGGCTTTTGCTTTGCCCATTCCATGTAGATAACAAGTCTTTTAGAATAGTTATTTCCTGTAGAGATGATTATTTCCTATTAGGCGGATCGGAGATCGCTATGGTCGGTGCCTCTGCATGACGACTTGATGGGTCGCATATTGGCACGGCTGGTTGGCAATGATGGTTTTATGGACCACAAAGTTGTCAATCGGTTTGGACGACGACAAGCCTGTCGCTTGTCTGATGTCTGCCAGAACCGAAATCCAACTTTATCAGAGGCGGTCTTTCCTCAGCGCAAGAAGCTTGGACGAAAGAAGGAGCGGTCGCAGCGCTGGATCCAACATCAGCCGCACCGTGGAGACCTTTCCGTTTTTCTCGCCCGAGGCGGCAGCTGGAGAGATTGCTTTTTGCAAATTCAAGGCCAGTTGTCGTCGGTCGTGTGGGGGAGTGATGGAGCTCGAAGGCAAGGTGAATTGTTGCTTTGTGGGAAATCAAGACCGCTGCCTAGACGCGGATCCGGAGGCCTGCCTACTTTCCCCGGCCTCCCGATATCAAGCGCCAATCATCCTGTTGTATTGTTGTGTCTTTGTTGCGCGACAAACATCAAGATTGCGGCAAGCTCTTGTTTTTTCAAGTGCACTGGGGCCTGGACATGTAACGTCGCGACTGGAAGTTTCACTTGGAAACTCAGTATGAGTCGGTTTTTGCAGGGAATCTGAAAACATGGAATTGTGGGCTTGGACCATCAAACGTCTGAGCGCCACGAAAATCCCAGACTGAATCCTGTGGGAGTTCTGTACGTGGGTTTTGTACCGGCCTTTCTGGATTGCATAACATCCAGTAAAGTTTTGGGAAATTTGAGTTTTCGTGCAAGGCTTTTGCTTTGCCCTTTTCCATGTAGATAACAAGTCTTCTAGAATAGTTATTTCCTGTAGAGATGATTATTTCCTATTAGGCGGATCGGAGATCGCTATGGTCGGTGCCTCTGCATGACGACTTGATGGGTCGCATATTGGCACGGCTGGTTGGCAATGATGGCTTTATGGGCCAAAAAGTTGTCAATCGGTTTGGACCACGACAAGCCTGTCGCTTGTCTTACGTCCGCCAGAACCGAAATCCAATTGGTGTGCCCTGTTGTGTCGTCGCTCGGTGACGGCGAGGAAATGTTGGTTTGGGTGCAATTGCTCCCTTTGTTTCTGCTGTGTCGTTAATGTGGGAAAGCTATGCGCTTGATGTTGGGAAGAAGCTATGCGCTTGATGTGTCGGATGGTTCTGCTGTTACGTTGACGTTTGGAAAGCTATGCGCTCGATGTTGGGAAGAAGCTATGCGCTTGGTGTGTCAGATGGTTCTGCTGTTACGTTGACGTTTGGAAAGCTATGCGCTCGATGTTGGGAAGAAGCTATGCGCTCAATGTGTCGGATGGTTCTGCTGTTACGTTGACGTTTGGAAAGCTATGCGCTCGATGTGGGAAAAAGGCGATGTGCCACCCGGTGGAGGATTCTTGTAGGTTGAGATCCCTGATTTGTTTGTGTTGTATTCTTGTTGGGAAGCGTGTGGTAGTTATCCGATTTGGGCTGTAATAACCAGTCAGAAAATATCTGTAGACAGAGCTGTTATGTATTTGGAGCGAAGTAGTTTGATAGAAGTATAAAACTTGAGAGACAATAGTTTGATGTAAAAGTGCAGATTTACTAAAATTGTGACGATATGGCAGTGAGAACTTGTTGAGTTTAGCGACGTCTCCGATTGCTAGACTCAGTGTTCATAGGTACAACTGCCATTCATCATGTTAACTATTCGCTTATTTCGATGTGTTCAAACAATCACATGAAGATTGATACACCGAAAGTTCAACGGCTTAAAGTTCAACGGCTTGTGTTGAGTATGTGAATTTTTGGTTTCACACCAAAATGTGGATCGTGGGATTTTCGTTTGTATATGACACATGTTGTGGAGTATCACACGTGTCGCATCGGAATATATATTCCGACTTTACATTTGTATAGGGTCATTTCCTTTTTGTGTGGATATAGATTGTCCGGCAGACTTGCGTTGGCATACTTGCGTCAAATCCCGACATTACGATCAAAGTTTGATTGTACGTGTCAAAAACTTTGTACTTGAATAGTTCCTTTTTGGAATGTAAAAACTCATATTTTGGCATATCCCAATGACTCCTGCCATTGTGACAATCACCATTGGCAGCAATAGGACATGCTCTCATTCACTGTTTATTTTGTTTTGTATTTTCATTTTGAACATATACACACTTGTCAGATCCCTGAACTTGCAAAACTTCTCACCTTGCAATGGCTTGGTCATGAAATCCGCAATCATATTGTCAGTTGGATAGTATTTGATCTTAACATTTCCTTTCTCAACTTGATCTGTGATAAAGAAATAACGAATATTGATAGCTTGGCTTCTTTTGCCCGTGCTCTTGCGACCATTCTCTTCCAGTAGAATTACGCTTTTGTTATCCTGATACAAGATATTCTTCTCAATACCCTTGCAACCTTATGAACAACTTCGTCCAAAGTATCATCATGACGACATCGTCAACAGCAATCAGTTCCGCTTGCTTCTGCTGTTTAGCTTTTCTTTCTTCGACATCACTTGAGCTGCACCTCCTCCAAAGGACAGAGTGCCGCCAGTATGGTTCTTGAAATCTGGATGTTCTGCAGAAAGTGTTAGGTGATACAACATAGTACAAAACAAATAACGCATCATGCGAACACAGTTCTTCCAGTCAGACTATGTAGGCTCACTAATTGTTGGATGGATATCCAAATGAGCTCTCTTAGAGACATAAAATCCCCTTGCAACAGTAGTATGGAAGATCTGACGGTACTCAGCACTGAGTAACTTCCCTTTACCAGCTTCCAGTAAATTGTTACCAGCTGGTATTTCCTGCTTTGAATCCTTGTTGAACTTGATAGGAAAATCTTCCAACATGTTCTTGACATAGTCGTCCATGCAGATCTTAAGTTTCCCTTTCACCAAGAAATCCAAAGTCATTCCAAGATATCTCTGCATCTTTCCTCTTACAATTGTGTACACCTTGATTGAACCATATCGCATGTTCAACCACTTAGCAAATTTGTCATTTACTTTTGGATCCATGTGACTTGACATAAGATTGTCCACATGAAACCTGGTTGTTTGCTGTTTTTCATCAACAAGTTTATTAGCAACACACGGAACATACAGATTGAAAACAAACCACTTTGCCTCCAAATCACTTCAAAACTGATTATAGAATAGGAGGCTTGATTGCAACATCCCATATATAGCAATAGTTTCTCTGAAGATCCAGCATTAGAGGAGCTGTTCTTGTTTGATTGCAGTTGCATAGAAATCCTGTTGCAAGAACAGCTTCAAAGATGTCATCCTTGAAACTGTCTTGAGCAGCAGTATTGGTGCTAGCAATAGCAGCATACGCCTTTGTCTTGACTGCAAAATTTCGGAACCAGGCAAGGCCATATAGATCTTGTAGGACTTCAGCCTGTCTCAAGAATTGTTCCTTGAAATGCGTCAAGTTTTCTGTTGTTCCTTGCTTCATAGCAAAGAACTTTTTATTGGCTTCCCAGAAATCCAAGAAGTCAAACTCAGCATCAGCACTCTTCTTCATGAATCGTTCAATACGTTTCAAGAGTTTGATTGGATCTTCAAGAGTAGTCGTGAGATCAGCTTCACCTGAAAGTTTGATATCCATCGCCTTCGTCACAAACTTCAGCATGATGTTTGATTTGACGGTTCTCTTGTTTGTGTCAAAGTAGGCTGATCTTCGCATGTTTTTGTTGCGCTTTGCCAAATAGAGAATCTTGTTTTGGGCCGTCTCTGTTTCCCTTGCAACAGCTTCCGTTTGAGTTGGAGTGTTCAATCTTGGAGCAATGATTTGCACTATATGCCACTCGATTTTTCACGCTCACCAACATGGGACAGTAATGCAGAGTGCCATTTACAGTGTACTGCAATGGCACCAGCATGTCATATGCCTTGCAAGAAGCGTACGCATACGATGCTCGTCCAGCAAGATACCAATACTTAGAGAAGTCTGCTATCCTCAATCTCTTTCAAACTGTAACGTAAATAATTCCGACAAACTTGAATGAAATTGACACTTGGTTTTGCTGTACTTTTGCATAACTTAGCACCTTTGCTCTGTTGCATTCTTGCAATCCAGTTCTCTCGTGGAACAGAAAGCTGAGTGAGATCTCGTGAGTGCTCGAACCTCAATTCATCCCCGCAAGCCAGCATGTAAAAGGCAGCTGCAACCTCACCGACGTCTCCCTTTTTGGGGCGGCACAATGCAGAGGAGTATATCTTGATGGCCTTTTCTGACCAGACAGATGGGGGTTTGCCGCACCCCAGCGAGATACCATCAACGTACTCATACAGGTTACCAAACGCAATCTCGGCCACTGCAGTCTGTTCTTGTGAATAGTGAGTCAGGTGTGCGTATCCCAAAGCCACCAGTTCTGATGCAAAATCCAACAACACTTGACCCATTTGAAGCCGCGTCGCCAAGAGAGAATAATACTTCTGCAGCGAGAGCTCCTGGCCCGCACCTCTTATTCGAAGCAAGATATGTCCAAGGGCATCCTTCAACTTTCCGTTCAGTTGCAATCGTCCAAACAAGGGCCCCCCATATTTCAAACTGGTTGTCGTTGGTACGCAGACCTACGGTTCCAAATTTGGATCCATCAGAGCGTGACACAAGACCTGTTGTCGTAAGTTGACAGAATGGAGGGTACAGCTTTTTGCCTCCAAGGTACTCAATGCTTGCATCCCTTGAGGAAGTTGACTGTTTTTGTTCCGCATAATAGTTTGCCAATCTGGTAGTGGTAACCCACAAAAATGCAAACCAATCGGAGCCACCACCGTATGCATCGGAAATGCCACCCATCACAGCTGCTGGTTAGGTGCTGGGACTCGTCAAAGAGAAATACAACCTTCTTCTTCTTCTCCTTCTCGGTCTTGACCAAGGCCACCATTTTCTCCCAAAGCTTCTTTTGACCTTCTTCGTCCACTTGAAATTGGCTCACGTCCAAAGTCTTGGAAAAAATGCTGCCGTTTTGTGACGACATTTCTGGAGGAGACTTTCCGTTCGTGCATATGAGTTTCATGTGGACATCGGGATCATTCTTTGCCATGGAGCATCGCGACTTGTGGAGCAGTTTAGTCTTGCCAGCTCCGCTGGATTGTAGCAGTGGGAAGCACGGTGCCATGTACACTTTTGACCCTTTTTCTAACCAGTCGAAGAGATTTTTCACCTCATCGACAAATGCGGTCAAATCTCGTTTGTACACCATCTTGCTGGCATTAATGTCAAACTCAATGCTTGCCACCCTCTGCAATGCAGTTGCCTCAGTACCTGCGACGATCACTTCAGTTTCTCCAGTTTTCAAGAAATGAGCCAAGTCGACCATCAGAATGCTTTGAGTCGGTTTGAAAAAATCTTCATTTTGTCCCAATGTCTTGATCATCATATACTTGAAGGTCTCTTTTTCATCATCCGTTACACGTTCATGGAAACATTCCTTTTCGTCTTTGATAGTCTCAATGCAGTTTCCAAGTGTTTTGTCATCAGCAGGTGGACAGCTAAGTTTAGATTGTTTTAGACTGCTTTGGTCGTTGTTCTTGTTGTCGCTTGCTCCTGACACTGGTCGCTTCTTGGAACCACCTGCGATGGTTTTGTTATCACTTGTCATGGCGGAAAAGGAATAAGCGCGACAGGTGCTCTTGGTGCCAATGCTAAGGCACTAAGAAGGGACTGTGAAATTCTGCAATGGTAAATGGGATGACGATGACGAGTGACAATGCAGTATTACTGATGACAATGATGGGCGTAGGTTCAAAGATCTGAGATTTTTGCTGCAGGATACTTGTGGCCTCTCATTGCCATGCTGTGGTACACATACATGTACACGTACAAGTGTACGTGTTCCACCGCGAGCCAGCCTAGGACATTATTCATTGAACAACAACAACGATCCCTGAACCAGCCTAGAAGAAGAGATAGAAATGGGTCACAACAAAAGTTATAGAGTCTCTCAGAAAGCCACAGAAAGGATCTCGATCGGCTTCTACATATGGGAGCAACGGAACTCCGTTCAACATTAGGATGATAATGTTCAACTACGTGAACGTCACAGTACTGTCAATGAGGGGATTCACTCACAGTTTGATATGGGTCCCGATGACTTGCCTAAGGAAATTCAACCGATGCTAACATGTCGTCGACGAGTCCTTCGCAAGTCATTGGTAGACAAGGAAGAGTGGCTTAAGTTGCTTCGTCAGGAACGCAGAGATTTCCGTCGCTCCATGAAAGCACAACGCCGCAGTCTGCGGACTATTTTCTCCCCTGGACCCTGACCAACTTTTTTTGACAACTCGAAACCTAACAAGCCATCTCTGGGAAGAATTGATGCAGCAGAAGAGAAATGGCGTCCATCAAGGTGAGTTGGATTGTTGAGTGTTGCATTTATTGTTGTCATCGAACAAGTGCGTATATGCGATAAGATATATATGTGTTCCAAATTTTGACTTGGTCGACCGCAAGACCAAAGCCATAAGTAAATCTTCCGTTGGGAAATGATGCAAGACGGCTTGGCTCTATGCAGCTGTTCTCCAACTTTGAAACCATCAAGTGAAACCGCGATTTACTCAATCCTCGTTCGCAACCAAACAACTGTCATGGTAATCCCAATGTTGTCTAAACCCAACACAAGCAGAACACGACAGAAGTTAACAATAAAGCTCAATTGCCAATGGATCGGCCATTAATGAATTGTTTGAGCTGCATGAAAGAATTATTGGAGGAACAAATGACGGAAGGCAAAAGCATATAATTTATTTGGACATTGTGTTGCTCATATCATGACTTTCTTTGCATTCATCCAACAATCCGCCGCTACCATCGCATGGCTACTAAATTTCTATCAAGACATTTGCAAGAAGAATTGGTCATGCAGAAGAGAAATGGCGTGCCTCAAGGTGAGTTTGATTGTTGGATGCTGCGATTGTGAATCATGTTGACAAAAGCAGTCGCTCATGTCTTGACTTTCTTTGCATTCATCCAACAATACACCTTCGTTGCTTGATTGCTAGTACAGAGTCATCAAGCCATCTTTGACAAGAATCCATGAAACAGAAGAGAAATGGAGTCGCTCGAGGTAAGTTTGATTGTTGGATGTTGGGATTGTCAATCATTACTATGCTTGTGGTCTCCAAGGCTTGACTACTACTGTACCCAACAGTACTCCATCATCATTGCTCGACTTCTACAGACTTATCAAGCTATCTCTGACAAAAACAGAACAGGTCGCGCTTGTAATGATATTGGTTTCGTTGACTATTGGATGTTGCAATGAATCATGATGAAAGCGGTTGCTCATATCTTGACATGATTGCATCCACATAACAATACACCGTCGCCATCGCAGGACTGATTCCTCCATACCTGTCAAGACCTTTTGGAGAAGAATTGGTCAAGCAGAAGAGAAATGGCGTCCCTCAAGGTGAGTTTGATTGTCGGATGCTTCGGTTGTCAATCATGTTGTTGAAAGCGGTCGCTCATGTCATGATATGGATTTCATTCAGTAACAATAAACCGCCGCCATTGCTTGATAACTACAAATCATCAAGACATCTCTGAAAAGAATCAATGAAGCACAAGTGAAATGGCGTCCCAAAGGTAAGTTTGATTGTCGGATGTTGCGAATGTCCGTCATTTTGATGAAACAGGTCGCTCTTGTCATGATATTGTTTTCATTCAGCCCAAATCATACAGTCGTCATCGCTTGATCACTACAGATTCATCAAGCCACCTCTGGGAAGAATCCGTCGAACAGAAGTGAAATGGCGTTGCTCAAGAAGGTAAGTTTGATTGTTGCAACCGTCAATGTTGAAAAAAAACGGGTCGCTCATGTCGCTCCGGCCTTGATATGGTTTGGCATTCAACCAGCAATACTCCGTGGCCGTTGCTTGATAACCACAAACTTATCAAGCCATCTCTGAGAAGAATCCATCAAGCAGAAGAGAAATGGCGTCGCTCCAGGTAAAGTTGATTGTGATATGTTGTGATTGTCAATCATGACCATGACAGTGGTCGTCCCCATTTTTTGACTACTGCTTCACCCAACAATACACCGTTGTCGTGGCTTGATTATCAGTACAGACTTATCAATCCATCTCTGGGGAGATTCCATCTAGCAGAAGAGAAATGGTGCTGCTTGAGGTAACATTGATTGTGATATGCTGCAATTGTCAATCATGACTATGACAGTGTTCGCCTGGGACTTGTTGATTCTCCAACGACGCGCGGCTGGGTGGATCTCTAATGATGCCAAAATCTGCTTCGATCGTATTGTTCATTGGGTGGCAATCATTGCTTGGGCTGACATGGAGGGTCCTATCTTCCATGTTTAACATGCTGTCATCGGTGACGCATCGGGTGCGGACAGGCTTTGGCGATTCCGACCGTACTTTCAAGCCGCCTTCTGTTATCCCCTTCCAAGGCTGTGGTCAGGGAAATGGGGCTGGACCCCCTATATGGATCTCTGTGAGCTCCGTTCTCATTACCATGATGGAAGCAATGGGTTACGGCTTTGAGTGCCTCTCAGCACTGGAGTCACAGTTGGTCACAGCCCAATGCTTCTGCTTTGTCGACGACACTGACGTTATTGAGGCTGGCAATACAGTACATCACTCAGGTGAAGCTATATGTGCACTGGTGCAGGAGGCCGCCACTCTGTGGGCTGGGGGAATCCGTGCCACTGGCGGTGCGATCAATCCTGAGAAGTCCTTTTGGTGGCTCATTGATTTCGAGTGGGACTCCCGCACAGGTAAATAAAAATTTCGTGGGAAAAAAGCAGTCGCTCCCGACTTTGAACTCCAAATTCAAGGTCTTTCAGGCACTACTGAATCCTTGCGTCGTCTTGAACCAGACAACTCGGAACACACTTTGGGAGTTATGCTTTCTCCCTTGGAAAACCTTGAGGCTCACAAGGCTCAGTTGGTTGCTAAAGCCAAGGACTGGGCAGAACAGCTTCGACCCAACCTGCTTCACAAATATGATGTCCTTCCCCCTCATCAAGTCGACCATCATGAAGAAATTGGAGTATCCGATGGTGCTAACAACCCTGGAGGCCCAGCAATGGACAGACATTATGTCTCCGGTACTTCAAGTGTGCCTTCCAAAGGCAGGTGTCTGTCGTAATTTCCCTCGGGATGTCGTATTTGCTCCGCTGTCCTATCAGGGTCTTGGACTTCCACATCCGTTTGGTTGTCAAGTGTTTAAGCATCTTGAGATGTTGCTCCGACACATGGCCAACAGGACCAAAACTGGTGACTATATGGAGGCCAGCATCCAAGCCCATCAACTTGAAACGGGGACGTCCTTTGGACTTCTGCAACAAGTCTACACCAACACGGCGATCCTCGCTTCAGACACGTGGTTGAAACGAGTCTGGCATGAGCTCGAAGGTTTGGACATCTATGTCGCCTATGACTCTCCAGCCCTCTCCCTTCGATGTACGGACGACTCCCTTCTGATGGATCTCTTCATCAACTTGGAGGTTGAACAGGAGGAACTTTTATGGCTCAATTGGTGTCGAATGTTCCTCCAGGTATGCACAGTGTCGGACATTGTGACTGCTGATGGCAGGTTTATTTGTCGCTCTGCGTGGAATGGGCTCAGGGATGAGTGCTGCCGCTAGCCATACCAATGGCCAAGGACAGTTCGCCCAACAAGGCAACACTGGGACCTGTGGTAGACCACCTTGTCCAGAGCCCTGCTTGCCTCCAACGGGCCACATTATCCACTGCAACAGCCCTTGGGGCCATGGACTGACCGTCTGGAGGACTGGAATTGGTTACTGTCCCCCACCACTGGCCTTTTCCACCGCCATGGGGCAACCTTGAAACACTTTTGCTCTGAGGGCTCCCACCCCACGTCATGTTGCTACGCACCAGGGCCGTCCCTTCCTTCCTGCCCATGGTGGACTGCACCGCTTCCTGCTGACGTTCTTCGTGCTTCGGTTCACTCCATCACAGGATCTGACAGGGTACTTCTCACCGGTACTGGCCGTGCCTCTGAACCGTCTTCTTCCTCCAGCCCATCCATCCTTCATGCGTGGCAGACAGCTGTCGAGCTCTGCACGGACTATTACGGGTGGGTCCCTGATGAGATCGAGGTTCACGGTGACGAAGCCACCTTAGCTGACGCTCTGTTGCATGGTCGCCTGCGTGTGATCAGCGATGGATCCTTCAAGAACGAGTTGGGGACCGCGGCGGTTCAAATCCTGGTGAAGCATGGAGGATGCCATCGTATCATCATCCAGTGTCAGACTCCCGGTTTGCCCCAGGACCAGAGTCCATACCGCAGCGAGCTCATTGGTCTGTTGGCCGGTATAATGGCGGTCGATTGGCTCCTTGAGCAATGGTTCCCAAACATTTCGATCGGCCCC